TACCATGATTATTTTCTAGAAGCCCAAGGACATTGAGGGGAAGGAGTCATGAGATAAGTGGAAGGTACACTAACCTTCTCACAAGACCAATCTGGAATTACAACTAAATCCTGAATAATCAACTGAACACTAGCTGGAGGGAAGCCTTAAAACCAAGCGTAGAAGAAACCACTTCACCACAACAAGACTGGTAGAAGTGCAGAGGAGGTGTAAGAGGGCTTGCCAGGCTCCCACAGGTGGCAGCTGAAGTTCTTAAGGGATATTTCAGCAGTCAGGGGGTACCGCCTGAGAAATGTGGTGTTTAAACCCCAAGATGGGCTCCCCAGCCTACAGCATCAGAGGCAGGAAAGGAACCATGATAACATCCATCAGTGAAAAATCAGAAGTGTTTCTATCTGCCAAGGTGAGATGGCTGGAGACTTGGAGCCTCTTAAAGGGCCAATGCACAAAGTTTAATCTGCAGCCACTTACACCGGGCTCCGGCAGAGGGAGGGCAGAACGGAGTAGAGATGGTTGCGGAGAGTCCAGGCTTGGAGGCTCTGGGGAGAAAAGTGTAAGAATAGCTGCCAGCATCCCTGTGCTGAGTCATTCCCCATACTGCAAAAGCTGTCTTTCTCAGGCATAGCACTCCTCTCCAAGTGGCATCAGCCCAAGGGGAAGCAATAGCCCTGCTCCCAGGAACTACTCCGCCCTACCCTGTGGTGCTTAAGCCAGGCTGCTGATTACAGCTTGAGACTATAATCACTGATAAGTTTAATAGCTAAGGTGGAAAATACAAAGCAGCAGCCAAAACGGGAAGACCAAGAAACAGCCCAAATAAAAGAACAAGAAAATTCTCGAGAAGAACTAGATGAAATGGAGGCAAGCAATTTATCAGAGAGAGAGCTTAGAGTAATGATTACAAGGATACTCACCAACATGAAAAAAGATGTAGAAACCATAAAAAAAGACCAGTCATAAATAAAGAGTGCAATATCTGAAATAAATAATACACTGGAAGAAATAAACAGTAGGTTAGATGAAGCAGAGGATCAAATCAGTGATTTGGAAGACAAGGTAGGAAAAAAATACACAGGGAGAACAGCAAAAAGAATTTTTTTTTAAAAATGAGGAGAGCTTAAGAAACATTTTGGACAACATGAAGTGTAACAACATCTGCATCATGAGAATACCAGAAGAAAAGAGTGAGCAAGGGATCAAGAACCTATTTGAAGGAATAATGATCAAAACCTTCCCTAACCTAGTGAAGAAAAAAGATACACAAGTCCAGGAAGCTCAGAGAGTCCCAAACAACTTAAACCCAAAGAGGCCTACAACAAGACACATCATAATCAAAATGACGAGGCTTAAAGACAAGGAGAAAATCCTAAAAAAGCAAGAGAAAAGCAGGTAGTTACAACAGAGCGCCAATTAGACCAGATGCTTCATAGCTGAATTTTAACTAACATTCCAAGAAGAACTAACACCTTTCCTGAAACTATTTCATAAAATTAAAGAGGAGGGAAGGCTCCCAAAACTTGTTTTATGAGGCCAGCATTATCCTAATTCCAAAACCAGATAAAGACACTACAAAGTAAGAAAATTATAGGCCAATATCCCTGATAAACATGGATGCTAAAATCCTCAACAAAATATTAGTAAACCAAATACAGTAGTGCATCAAAAGGATCATACACCATGATCAACTGGGATTTATTCCAGGAATGCAAGGTTGGTACAACATTCACAAGTCAATAAATGTGATTCACCACATAAATAAAATGGAGGATAAAAACCAAATGATCATATCAGTAGATGCAGAAAAACACATTTGATAAAATCCAGCACCAATTTATGGTAAAAACTCTCAACAAAGTGGGATTAGAGGGAATATACCTAAACATAATAAAGGCCATATATGACAACCCTACTGCAAAATCATACTCCACAGGCAAAAACTACAAGCATTTCCCTTAAGATTGGGAACAAGACAGGGATGTTCACTTTCACCTCTCTTACTCAACATAATACTTGAATTCCTAGCCACAGCAATCAGACAAGAAGAAGTAATAAAAGGCATCCAAATTGGAAATGAATAAAACTGTCTTTTGCAGATGACATGAAACTGTACATAGAGAAAACCCATGATTCCACCAAGAAACTACTAGAACTGATAACTGAATTCAACAAAGTAGCAGGATACAAAATTACTAGCCAGAAATCAGGTGCATTTTTATATGCCAATAATGAACCAACAGAAAGGGAAATTAAAAGTCCCATTCACAATTGCTACAAAAACAATAAAACACCTAGGAATAAACTCAACCAAGGATATAAAAGACCTGTACTCAGAAAATTATAAGACACTTCCCTGGCTGACGTGGCTCAGTGGATCGAGTCCTGGCCTGAGAACCAAAGGGTCGCTGGTTTGATTCCCAGTCAGGGCACATGCCTGGGTTGTGGGGCAGGTTCCCGGTAGGGGACACATGAGAGGCAACCACACGTTGATGTTTCTCTCCTCTCTTTCTACCTCCTTTCCCCTCTTTCTACAAATAAATAAATAAAATCTTAAAAAAAGTTTATGGAGAGTAGTCCAGAGTTTTTACTAGATTCTCATTGTGATCCATGACCTTAAAAAAGGTTAAAAACCACCAATTCAGCTGTTTGGTATTTTGAAGAGAACTGTGCTAATGAAGACAGAGTTCTATAAAACTGCCAAGAGTGACTTTCATCAGAAATTTTGGGGTGTAGTGGTTGACTATTATATATTAGTTTTGTGTGTTTTGCCTTTGTCATAAAAGTGGAAGGGAAAAATGAATTCCAGTTACTTTGCCATTCTGGTAGTTGCAGTTTTTATATTGCTTGTGTTTAGTTTTTAATTTTTAAATATTAGGTCATTTGTAAAACCATCATTTTGTTTCCTATACCCATCAGATAAAATAGATCATAATAGATTTAGTCTGTATGTAATTATACTTTGAGAATCTATGGTTTAGCTAAAATTAACACACACATCAATCAAAATATACAAGTTAAAGTGTGCTATGTTTCTCTCCATGGCTTTGAACAAGTGTAATGTGAATTTCAATGTTAGTCTACCCTAAAACCTACAAAAACTTTACCTCAATTAGTGTACAGGTAAAATCTATATAGAAAGGGCTCCACAGTTTTAAAAAATCCTCTACATGAAAATCTGGATGTGATAAGTTAGAGAGTCATTACTTCACTTAGAAAGGATTCACTTTAGAAGGAAGTCAACACAAGAAGTCTATACTGTATTTTTATGAAGGTCAACAAAAGGCAACATCATCTCTAATTGATGGAAAACAAATCAGTGATTGAGTCTGGGTCCAGAACATTGGTGGGATTGCACAAAGGGGCGTAGGAAATGTTTTGGAATGATGGGAATGCTCTATCAGGTCTGTCCAGTCTTTTAGTGTCTCTGGGCGACACTGGAAGAAGAGTTGTCTTGGGCCACACTTTAAATACACTATGACACATAATCACATAAAAAAATCTCAAAATATGCCCTTGCTGGTGTGGCTCAATGGACTGAGTGTTGGCCTGTGAACCAAGAAGTCACTAGTTCGATTCCCTGTCAGAGAACATGCTTAGGTTGTGGGCCCGGTCCCCAGTGGGGGGCGCTGAGAGGCAAACACACATTGATGTTTCTTTCCCTCTTTTTCTCCCTCCCTTCCCCTCTCTCTAAAAATAAATAAATAAAAATCTTTTTAAAAAATGTTTTAAGTAAATTTACAATTTTGTGCTGGGCCTTATTCATAGCTATCATGGAAAACATGCTGCCTACCACTGCTTGTGGTGGTTTCATGGGTGTATACATATGTCAAAACTCATCAAACTGTACACTTGAAATAGGTGCAGTTTATTGTACATAAGGTAAATGTCAATAATATTGCTTATAGAAGATTTACCTCAGGATCACTAAAGTAAGATTTCATTAAATGTTTATTGAACCTAAAAATAAGATTTAAAATCTGATTGATTACACAAATGAAAAAATCTACCTGTAAATTTCTTCAAGGTAGGATGTGGGTAAAATATGATGAATGTAAGAGCTTTTTAGCAGGTGAAGAAAAGGTGACAATGCATTTTAGTTAATATTTAACATACAAGAATGATCTCTTTATTATTGTGGAATTACCCCAACAGTAAAACAAATTAAATAATTAGTTCAGATTATCTAAAATTGATCTTAAGTGTTCATTTAGAATAGTTTCCTAGTCTGGCCCTTCCAAAGTAGATAGCATGAGACACGATGATAATATAATAGCTCATTAAAGCTAAATTGTACATCATCTATGATTTCAACATTTTGTATTCACTAAAGAAAAATTATATTAGGAATTGTTTGTACATTACTTTGCATTTAAAAATTGGGTTATTTAAAAATTGCTACACTCAGATATTGAATAGCACGGTGGTTCCTTGGGAAATCTAATATGATAAATGAAGCATTAATTTTAAGACCTAGTTTGAAATGCTGTGTATCAATCAATACGTACCCTTTATATAATCTCCTCTGGAATTTTTAAAGATTTTTTTTCCAATTTGTGAGATGGTGATGGTGAATTTTTTTCTTAGTGGTCAATGTGAAAATGGGAAGCCCTGAATGAATCCTAGAAATAATATTGAATCCAATTAAAGCCACCTTATCATGTGTGCTTGTAGAATATAACAAAGCTAAAAATACAGAAATAAGATTTTCTAGAATACTACACAGGTATTGTTGCAAAACACTTTCAACTGAATTGGGAATCAGTTATTAGTTATGCTTATGTGTTAGTGAAATTTACTCTTTACTGATAATCCAGGAACCTTGCATTTATTTAGTAGTTATCTTGACCTGTTTATTTTGGATAGATGGTAGGAGCACCTTGTTAGAAGAGCGTTAGTAAGAATGAAGGGAGGTAGTGGCCCATTGATTAGGTCAACGAAATTCTAAATGCCAGTAATGGGTTCCTTAGCCTAAGAACACTGTACTTAGGCTAGCAGCCTATGTCTTATTCATTTTTTTTTCCCTCATCACACAAGGGCTCAACCACAATCTCAGGTTCGGGCTCCGGCTCGGGTTCCAGCTTGATTTCAAGCTCAGGTACTTGGGCAGGCTCAGGTTCTGGGGAAGGCTCCTGGGCAGGCTCCAGGAAAGGCTCAGGCTTGGGGAGAGACTCATGATCTGGCTCCAGAATGGTATTGGGGTCAGTTTCATGGAAGGAAGATTGCAGTGTCGCTTCTAGTTGGATAACATCTTCAGATGGTATTGTCTCGAACTCTGTGCCTCTGTTTATCTTTGTCATTGGTCTGCAGGAAGAAGGCCCAGGGAAGACCATGTTAGGGTTTGACATTTTATGTGGAACCACAGGCTCTGCAGATTTAGTGACCACAGGTCCCAGTCTGTCAGGAACTCTGTGATTTCTGATATTCTGATTCACTGGTAGACCACGTGTCTCCATTATGGATGTAGAAAGGTTATGTCTCAACAATATCATGAGAGTACGAGAGAAAAACTGGTGTTTAAAACATGGGAAAAACATAAAGATGAAAGAATCTACATATCTAGTAAGGTCTTTGAGGGCCAAATCTATAGCTCGGGTGCATCTCCCACTTTATCTAACACAATGTTTGCATCTGGTTGGTGCCCAAAACATAAGTGTGGAAGCATAGAAATGAAGGAGTGTGATGTACATTCAAAAAGAAATAGCAGAGTGGTCAAGAGCATGGGCTGTGGGCATGGTCAGATGACCTAGGCACTTCTGCCTTTGTGAACCCCTTGTTCCAAAAAAATATTAAAAATTATATTTATGATTGTTAGTAGAAAGACAAGCATAGAAAGCATACTAATATGATACATTAAATCATTTTTATTAGACATAAAAGAGTTATTGTAGTAAAATAAGTTGATATAAGTTGCTTAGAACAGTTTGTCTCACAGTGCTCAGTAAATGTTACCCATCATGATTCTTTTATAAAAGCAGTGAGAATAAGCAGAATGATACTCGTAATAGCTTATGCTAAAAGGAATGCTTGGGAAGAGCTGACTGAAAGATATACCTGAGAAATGTCTATATTCAAGTAAGGACAGCAAAATAAGTTCTTACTCGAGTTCTGTGGTGGTTTTAGAATTTCTCTTCCTTTCCTTCCCCTTTGCCTTTGCCTTGCTCCTTGCAAAACACACCACAGAGGTGATAATGGCAGCACCCACTAGGGAACCCACCAAGGCCCCAACAATGATTCCAACTTCTGGATCTGGAAGATACAAACAGCTGGTTAGAAAGGTGGAACATATTGTCTCTGCCTCATACATGTGCTTTTGTGACCATTGGGGAACACTTGGGGTGTTCACAGAGTAGGAAAGAGACCTGGATAGGTTGGGAGCATGGAAACCCTTAGAACTCTGCCAGCTGGACTCAGTGGAAAGAAAGATGGCTAGGCCATCTATATAGCTTACCCACTCACATTTACACACATAAAAAAATATGCCAACCTGGGGGAGGTGGTGTCATCTTCAAAATGGGGTTTAGAGAAGTGAGTCTTCAGTGTGCATTTGCTTGGCCAATGAGAAAGACACCATGAATATGTACTCCAGTGACCAGAGAAATGACCTCTGTTACAGGCAGGGACATTTCATCAGGTTTTCCCAGAGAGTAAGTCAGGTAGGTCCCTAAAAACATTCTCTCTCACAGATTCCATGCTCACCATGGAGACTCATGCATTCTCATCAATGGAAAGGGATATACCCATTCCATAAACTGATTTATTAGATGAGTCTATGGAGAAACTTAATGTGTGCGATGATTCACATGAGCATTAGATCTTAAAGCACTAAGGTATTGCCTCAAGAGGCTATGTCTGGGTTCCAGGAGGGCTCATCTCCATCTACCTCTCTTCAAATAAGAATGGACATCTTATAGTTTTAGACTAAAGGCTAGTTGAATTTCCTGATTATCTTTTCAATGTTTTATTACTAAAGGAATACATGTTAATAATTTAGAAAGTCAAACAGTTCTACTAGATTTCTAACAGAAACAAAAACAAACAAACAAAAAACACCAGCTGCCTATCTCTGAGCCTCATTGACTAGAGATAACCATTTTTAACTTTTTTTTAAATCTTCTGAAATTTGCCTTCATGTTTCTATTACGCTTGTTCTAATATGTCCTACATTTTCTAATTTTGGTAACTTTCCATTGACTTCCTACTCCAGAAGTTGAAGATTTAAAATCTTAAACCATTCCTCATACACTTTGCCACATTCTTCTTATATAGACAAGTCATAATTAAATCCAAGTTTGCAGTATTATGGCTATATATATTATACACAGCTGCAGAACATAGTATTATTATGATCCTCTCTTGTATAACATTTAAATTTTTTCTGAGGTTAATAATTGTTTCATTTGGGATTTTTAAAAATGTATTATTGCTAATCCCCAAAATTTCCAGTAAAACTATTGAACGCCTTTCAATAGATTCAAACATATCAGGTAATCCATAGTCTTTTTTCCCTCCTCAGAGATATCCTTTATGGAACCCTCATTCTCCTTCCACTGAGTGGACTTGTTGCACTCCTGCTCTACTGTCATCCTTCAACCTCCTTTTACCTTTGTCCCTATTTTACAGATAAAGAAACAGACTTTGCAAGTTCCTTCAAGATCTAGCTCAAACAGCACTTCACTGGTAGAGCTGTCCCTGGTTCTATAACCACTATTTCTTCTTTGATGTTCTATAGACACTGTGTAGACGTCTGTTATAGCATTTAACACATTTTAGTGTTTCTCCATCCCTCTAGCTAAAATATGAGCTCCTTGATTGTAAGGCATATATGTTATTGATCTCTGTACCTCCATCACCTAGGACAGTCCCTGGCTTATAGTAGATATTCAGTGAATATTTGAGGAAGTCATGGAAGCAGGGAGGAAGGAAGAAAGGGAGATAGGGAAGGAAGAAGCCAAATGCCAATGTTGGAAAGAATTCAAAAGGAAGTGAGGCTTAAGTACAAATCCTAGGAATCTCTCCATCTGCAGTATGACTGTACCTCTAGAAAGGCAAAACAAGATTGGAGAAGATCTAGGGAAAAAAATAGCAGAAATGGATAAAGGAACTACATCCCTTCAATGGATGAGCGATGAATGGGGGTTGATTGGGACTACAGAGAAGACAGACCAAAAAGGTGAGGTTTCTTCACTTTGAATGAAAATAGTTGAAAGTACTGTAAGAATGAAGGTGTAGTCTGGAGTTGGAAAATGTTTGGATTAGGACAAATAAAAGGAAGAAAGCTCAGCTTCATAGGAGAGTAAAGATCCAATGGAAATGGCCACCTGTGTATTGTATAGATTGAAACCACAGATTCAAAGTAAGTTAGAAAAAAATGAATAGATTCTAAGTGTTAAGTGATCTTTGGAGATGTGGCAAGATATCCTTTATGGGAGGGTGCCCCTGACTGGCCCAATCTGACAATTCCAGGCCCTCAAGTCTATGCTTAGTAACTAAGCACTTCTGAACTGGAAAGTTGAGGTTCAGAGACATCCTGGCACTGCCAGTTACTAACTGGATGACCTTGGACAAGTCACTTACCTCCCTGAACTTCAGTTTCCTTTCAGGAAAATGAGGCTAACAATATATTCTGCCTGCTAGACAGGGTAGTTTGAGGATCAAATGAGGAATGCTAACAGTACCTGTCTGAGTGGTGCATAATTTGTGCTTCACTAATAATATTGGCTACTGTGACTGTAGGTGTGAGTGTTTTTATTATTATTAGAGGCAGATCTTAACAAATTAGTTAAGAACTGGAAAGTTTTTGAGCTCCATGTTTGATGCAGATTGCTACAGTTTCACTTGGATTTGTCAACCCGCATAACAAAGAAAATTTAGCTTGGTATTATCAATAGGCTGTTGTTTTATTTATTATATGGTAATTCCTACTTTCTAGAGATTTTTGAGGGTTAAACATTTATTTTTATAAACCCTTTAGGGAAGTGTGTGGCACATATTAAGTATAGTGTAAGCATTAGATATTGGGATGGTAATTCATGATATTAACCTACCAAGCACCAAAATGTCCAGATAAGCAGGAAGGACAAATGAGGACTAATTAATTTACTTGGTTTGCAGGCTCACAATATTTGACTTAAAAGTTGTATGATCAACTCACATGATACAGTAAGATCAATTTCACAGGAGCTGTTGCCAAGGATGTTGATTGCAGTGCACTGGTAATAACCTTGTTCAAAATTGGTCAGATTTCCAAAAACCAAAGTTCCGGTGGCTGGGTCTGTCAAGACCAAGAAATAGACTTTTGAAATATTTTATGTGGGTAGAGATCATGTCAATGTAGCAGATCATTCAGCACCAAACCATTTCTTCGCATTGGCCTCCCTTTTTTGATGTATCCTTGTGACTATTCCAAAGTAGCCCAGCTTGGACCACACCATTCTCTCCATACCCACCACCTCTGAGCCAAAACCAGGCCTTACTTCTAGAAGTTGGGGATAAGACCAGACCACAGTCATCTTCTTAAGAAACAGGCATTCTTTTTATACCCCACTCCCAGAAAAATAAAAGACTAAGCTCTAAGGATGAACAGCCAGCCACATGCTGACAGTCACCACATACTCCATACCTTGCCAGGGGCTGCTAAGGGCCATACTTACCAAAGCTTTCTTTCACTGGGATGATGTCTCTTCCTTCAAATTTATACCAGTGGTACACAGGGGAAGGTGTTCCAAGCACCGAGAGGCAAGAAAGAGATATAGGTCGGCCAGTTTCTGGTACTCCTTGAATGCTGCAAAAGGGCTTAGAAGGTTTGACTATAAAACAATGACAAACAGTAAAAATCATGTTAGAAGAATGGCAGTACGTAACTATTGCAGTCATTGACTCCCTTTCATTTTGTGGAATGTCTGCTTAATTTAAAAAAAAAAAATCTTTAAAACTTATTTTGACAGTTTTCTATTTGCACCACCAGATGGGAGTAGAGTACTTCAGATGCAAGGACTTTGGGGTCACCAATTAATATTCCAATAGCATCTCTTCCACCTACCTCCTTCCCAGATTCACAACCATGAATTTCCACATTGTATCTGAAAATATGCCTTTATTAAAACAACCAAATATAAGCAAACACTAAACAGCTAGGAACATAGTTTATATTCTTGAAGCACAGTTCTAAACGAAAATACTTTGAGATAACCTGTTACTTTTTTCTTTTAAAAAATTGTTATATTAATGCCATATTTTTCTTTTTCCTTTTCCTATATGAGTCATTTTGGCACTTATTCTTCTCAGGGTGATACAAATGGTTTGAATTTACCTGCGTCACTCTTTGGTAGGTGAAGCCCATTTGTTGGGAGTGGTGCTATGGAGCATTGAAATCTTTATTCATTTTTCACTCAGCAAACAGGTACTTGAAGGCCTTATGTATGCCTGGCATTGGACTAAGCATGAGAAATTCAAAAGTAATTCTGACACAGTTCTGAAGTGGGGTAGGGGAGTGGTGAAAGAGTAGACCATACTTGGAGGGCTTTGTATCTGATTTTTTTATACTGACAGCAGGAGGACCATGGAAGGAAATTAATTAGGGGAGATATGATGGTCATTTTAACATTTTATCTGGGTTACTCTGACTCTGGACCAAGGGAGAGGAGAAGACAAATTCAAGAGGTATTAACAAGTCAACAGGACTTGGTGACTAAGTAGATATTGGGCATGAGGAAGAAGATGGGGTCAGTGATGATCCCTAGGTTTCTGATTTGAATGGCTGGGCACATAAGTTTGCCATCATCCCCTGAGATTATATAGGAGGAGAAATAGGTTTTCAGGGAAAGAGAGAGGAGGAGAAAGAGGAGAAAATGAGGTCAGTTTGGATTTTAAACCCTCCAAAGATGTGGATTCTCTAATTTGGCCTAGTCAGACCTTAAATCTCCAGACTTCCTAGATCTCTCTGCTCTTACTTGAAAGGTAACAGTTAAGAACACAGCTCTGGATCCACACAAAATACTGGCTCTGCAACTGTACCCTAGATGTCTTTACACAAGTAACGTAACAGAAAAAAGACCTCAGTTTACTCATGTGTAAAATGTGAACAAGAGATTATCTGTGCTCCAGCTAATTCAAATACATTGTATTTATATAATTAAAATAATGTCTATAGAGCCTTGCACATGGAGTTGCTGTTGGCCATGGGCAGGACTAATTCCTGCTGCCACATTTTAAAGCTTGCTACTGAAATTAATCTTCCAGTCTAAGATTCTAACCCACTGTACACATGAACAAGAGAATAGGTGAATAGAGCTGTAATTCTTTGAAACACTTCACCATTCCTATCTTTTAAACAGGTGTCTTTTAATTAAAAGAAGTGTTTTCCTATTTACCTCTTTATTTTCCTTTCCTTTCCACTGATTTTCTCAGATGGGTACAATGCATTGGATTTGCCTATCCTAAACAAGACTATTTAACCGGAAGTCCATTGCAGCTATCACTAGATTTTGATATAGCATTTTTAAAATATGGTAATTTTATGGCCTTTACAACAGAATGGATCAATTTAAACAGAAAATTAAATAGGGTGTTTTATCATGGAGTCAGACACCAGAACTGTAACTAATGATGGACAAAATTCTGAATGGCTTGCATTCATTTCTTGAGCCCAGAATCAAACCCAAATAGGCATTTTATTTATTTACTTTGTTGAACACATTTTTTCTACCTTTTTTAAATTAACAAAATAGTAAATCATTTCGAACCACTTTCCAAACCTGTATATTTTCTAAAACCACTGCATCACTATTGCATTGACCCTTCATCCAGTTAAAGTCCCCAGCAGAACCTAGATGTTTACTGCAAAAGCCATTGATCTATAATTTACCTTTATTGCTTTTAACAGAATTGGAGTGGAAGAAGAGGCTCACTCCTGGAAATAAATGAAAATGTTTCAGTGTGTTCTCAAACCTTCTCTAAATTCATCATTTTCTTTTTATATGCCAAATTCCAGGAGGAAAATGATGCTAATTCCAAATGCATAAAAATAACTATTCAAACTTGTGCTGGGTATTTTTCAGAGATTCATTTTCTAAGGCTGTCATACTAATGGAAGTCTCCCAAATGAACTGTCACCCAAACCACCTGGGCCTCTGCTCATTGCTGTTTCCTTCACCTAAATCATATTCTGCCACCTCAGCCCTTTCTCTACCTTACACATTCTTGCACATCCTTCAATATTCAGTACAGAAGTAGCTTCCTCCAGGAAGCCTTCTTCAGTTCCCCCAAACAGCTTTTAGCCCTTTCCTCTGTGTCTCTCAGCTGTCCTTTCCTACCACCACTGTATGTTTTTATGTCATATGAGTATATCTGCCTCCCTCACTAGACTCTGAACATTTGGAGGGCTTGGACCTTACCTTTTAAAACTTTCCATCTCCATTGCCTAGCACAGTAGCTGGACATGTGCTCAGGGTTTGTCAAATGACCATATGCATGAACAAGTGAATGCATGGGATCAATCAATGCCCACCACTGTGTAATAAAATGTCTCTGAAAGTTGCATTGCTAGGAAGAGCAACCTTTAAAGAAATGTTGGCACTTCTTCCCACCATTAGCCTCCCTTATCCACCTCTCCCCACGATGCCCTGCCTCTCAGTCAGGGTAAGCAGAACAGGCACTCATATACAATGGAATTTGAGAACTGTAAACAACCTTAGCAATTTTTAGAGAAAATTATCAGTTTCAAAATTTCCAAAAGCATTAATTTGTAGAATGCTTCTGTTTTTAGCCCAGTTAGTAGAAACAGCATTTTTGAGAGTTCCCAAACAAACAAGGAAATCCACAGACCCTTCTGCCTCTTACCTTGCTTGAATCCAGGATGCTTCCAGAAAGAAAAGTCATGACAAAGTCATTGCAGGAACAATTTACCCAAAGACTCATGGGAAAGAACAACTCAGAGAAAAAATAACCCTCAGCTTCTTATGGAAGTTGATTAGGGATTCTCTGAACTTTAAATTTAAGAATATTAACCTTTCTGTCTAACTATCTCAAGACTATTTCCAAGCTCAGAGATAAAGAGGTTTGGCTTCTTTAGGTTGTTTCTGGTCAGAAGGACAACCCAGAGTCAAGGAGCAACAGAAAACTATTACAAGACTAATCTCTCTAATTCTTTGAACAGTGATTGTATAACATTTTATCCTCATGGCAAACTTGCAAAGACAGAGCAAGAATTACAATTCCATCTCAAAATGACCAGAACAAGGTGAACTGACTTGCCTGAGGCCATTAGGTAGCCAAGTAAGAGCTAGAACCTACTCTGGCTCATAGCTTGATGTGCTAGCATCTATATCAGTTTAGTTGCCAAATAAATGAAAAATCTTTCAAACTGAAACATCAACTCTCCCAGGAAAGGGCTTCTGTATATTTCTCTTCCCTTGTACCCCAATGCCTAGCACAGGGCTTAGCAAAATAAAAACATGAATGAGCTATGTTACTCTTAAAAATCAGCTCTTGATTATCTTTTCCTCTTTTCTAGGTGGGTAGATGCAATAGCAAACCTTACAGTAAATACATAGTGCATTTTTTGCATTAACTGAATGGCAAGCTCAGACAACTCTTGACATTTCTCCTAGGTCTTCACCTTGTTACCAATTGCTGCTTTTCCAAGCTACTCAACTATCAAGTCACTGATTTGATCTAGTTGCTTCTTTCCTGTGATAGATGTACACAGCTCAAGAACAGTAACTAAATCATCTCCATTTGAGGTTACTTAGACTTGGGAGAACCCTTAGTTCAACTGGTTAGTTGGTAAGTGTTTAGAGCCTTTTCAATCTTCCCTTCAGAACTTCTGAAAGCTTGCACACAGGACCCTCTAAACTGAAAGACAGGATCAAAACTCCCATTGACTGTGAACTTCCCAAGACCAATAACCATGCCTCAATATTGTAAACGTTATGGCTCCTGGCACAAAGTAAGCACTCAATAAATACTGCATAAATGAGCCACTCCAAATTCACTTGAACAATAGATATGACTTGCCCAATGTCACATACTGCATATTTGCATATAAATAAATTCATTCTAATCTGTGGCTTAACATGTGGTCTTTTTCCCAAATAGTGTCAACATTTCATTTTTTTTAAATTACAGTATAATTAGCATACAACAGTATATCAGTTTCAGGTGTACAAAATAGTGATTCAATATGTATGTAACCTATGAGGTGATCACCACACTAAGTGTAGTAACCATCTATCTGTCACCATGCCAAGTTTTTACAATATTATTGACTATATTCCCTGTGCTCCATATCCATGGTTTATTCATTTTATAACTGGAATTTTGTACCTCTTATTCCCCCTCCATCTTTTTCACCCATCCCCACCCCCCTCATCTCTGATAACCAAGAGTTTGTTCTCTGTACTTATGCATCTATTCTTGTTAAGGTCCATTAACAGATAAATGGATAAAGAAGATGTGGTATATATACACAATGGAATATTACTCAGCAATAAAAAATAATGAAATCTTACCATTTGCGACCGTATGGATAGATCTAAAGGGTATTATGATAAATGAAATAAGCAGTTGGAGAGAGACAAATACCATATGATTTCACTTATATGTGGAATCTAGAAATATAATCCAAATAGTGTTAATATTTTTAAAAATGGATGTTCCTGCTTTTATTCAAAACAATGATTTAATGGTGGAAATTGCGTCTGGTTTAAGAGAGGTAATAATTTGTTAGTTGTCTCCCCAAGGTAGGACTGGCTGTTATTGGAAGTCCTCTATGAAAGAGTTGTTAATGAACATTTAGTGTGACTGTGCATTGTCTGAAATGTTCTCATTTTATCCTTCAGAGATAGGAATCCCTGGAGGTGGAGTAATCTACTGCTGTCTGTCATTTTGGCAGCCTTCTTAGTTTGGTTATTTTTCAACATGTTATATGAATGATTTTTCAGTGTTGCTATATGATTTGGGGGGTATGTTTCTAGTTCCCCAATAATCAAAGAGCAAGGATATTTATCCCTGGGACTTAAATGGCATTATAACCCATGCCCTGGCTCATTCAGTGTCCTAAGTTGCCCTGAGAAAAGGCATAAAAAATTGTCCATACCTAACACACTGACTGTGAGAATGCCTTGATTGTTGCCGCCAACATCTGGGGGGTTGTTAACGTCACAGGTGTAGATACCACTATCTTCTGGTTGCACATGCAAAATAGTGATGGATGCATTATCTGGCTTATTAGACATTACAATTCGATCTTTAAATTGCCCGCTGGATGCAGCTTGTCCACCTTCAGAATAGTAAATCTGGAACAGAATAATGAGAGAAATGAGAACTAGAGAGTGCTCAGGGCTAGGATGAACTACCTTGGAGCTCCTTCTGTCCAAGGTTACCTTCTTTGATAGCAGCAGCATTTTCCCCCATCAAAAAACAGGTTTCTGTGGCAAAGGATTTTCAACTCATTGGGGCATTTTAGCTTTCTCACAGCTGTATATGGCCATTACCTCACCTGTGCTCAATGCAACTTTGTGATGTCATCGGGGCAGAGAGCTATGCCTCACTTACAGACAGTAGACAGCTAGGGCTGATGGGATTCAACTCTTAAGTTTAGGTTAGAAGATTAAGATATTCACCTGATGAGTCTACTAGGAGGAAATTCATTATTAAGACACAAATGCCTGATGGGAAATCCAAAACAATCATTTTGCTCATTTTATAAGCTCTTTTCTTTCTTAAATTTTATTGTATTTTTCCATTATCATTTAGTCCCTTTATACCTGCCTCCCCCGCAGCAATCACCACACTGTTGTCCATGTCCATGAGTCCTCCTTCCTTTTTACTCAACCCCTCCACTTACTTTACTCAGTGGGACTATCTGAAAATTCTGGTTTCCCTTGAAATTAGAATAGTCATACTCCTTTTGTACACACATACTCCTTTGGACAAGCAAACTTGAGTTAACCCTGTTAGAATAACATTTCGGAGCAGGCAGGCCCCTGAGAAATCATCTGGTCCTATCTCCTCATAATAGTGGTATGAAGATGGAACAAAATAATCCAGAAAAGGGCCTAGCAAGTGTTTACTCAATGGGGCTACTACCATTCTCCCCATGAGGCAGGAAGCAGAACTGAAATTATTTCAACACGAACATTCAAATCCAGAGAGATTAAATGACCTATCCAAAGTCAAAGGAATTTTAATATTATAATTTAGTAATCTTAAGAAATATCTGGACTCTAGTCTCTTCTCTGTTTAAGAACATGAATAATTAGATCATAATGGCAACTGTGGGAGCAGCATGGTGAGGTAGAAAGAGGCCTGGTCTCTGAGTCAGAAGCTCCAGCTTTTAGTCACAGCTTTGCTTCTCACTAACTGTAACAATGTCAGAGGAGGTGGCTCCTGATCATGTCTCCATGGCAACCTGCTTTGTGATAAGAAACAAAATTATTTAATTTTTAACTTTTAGTTTTTACATCTGAATGAGGAATCAGAGAAATGTCCTCTCAAATATCATAGGTATTCCCTGAGCATAAGCGCCTAAGTTGATTTTATGTGGTACATAAATGAAAACATTAAAAAGAGACATATTTAGAGGAGAATCAAGATGGCAGAGTAGTGAGTGAAGCCACACTGACCTCCTCCCAGGACCAACCTGGAATTACAACTAAATTGTGGAGAAATCACCTGGGACAAACAACTGATCAAGACCAAAAGAGGAGCCTTGTAACCTCGGAGACAGAAGAATCGCATTTAACGCCATCTAACTGGTAAGGAGTGCGGTACAGACCTGAGAAGGTGGGCGGGGCGCCCACGGGCAGCAGCACCAGAAGGATATTGAAACGTCCAGTTGGATTCCCAAGAACAGCGGGGTCTAAACCAAAAGCGGGGATCTCTAGCCCAGAGCACCAGAGCCCAAAAAGTACACAGAAAACAGCCAGCTGCGAAAAGCAGCAGGGTTGCTCTCTGCCAGACACAGGCGGATGGAGACGCAAAGAGCCTTCTATAGGGTCAATGCAAAATTTTTATTTGCAGCCACTTACCCTGGTCTCCGGCAAAGGCAGGGGCAGAGTGGGGTAGAGATGCCTGAGGAGAGACTGGGGAAGGAAGCTTTGGGGAGAGAACTGAGGGAGTAGCCGGCAGGATCTCGGTACTGACTCATCCCCCAAGCGGAAGCAGCCATTTTGCTCAGGAAGAGACCACTCCCCCTGAGCAGCACCAGCGTCAAAGAACCCCATAGCCGTGCCTCCAGGTGGGATTTCACCTTGCCCTGTGCTATCTAAGCTGCCTGCTGAGTGCAGAGTGGCAGCCACAGACAGTACATCCCTGGCTAAAGGGGGCACAGAGAGGTCTGGCGACACTTGAGGAGAGACTGGGGATGGAGGCTTTGGCGAGAGAATGGAGAGAGTAGCCTTTGGGATCCCAGCACAGACTCCTCCCCCATATGGCAGCAGTATGAGAGGACCTAATAACCCCACCCCCAGGCAGGATTCTGCTCCACCCTGAGCTGTCTAATGTGCCCTGCTGAGTGCAGAGTGAATAGATTAACAGCTGAAGGAGACAGCCACAGGCAGTAGATTCCTGGAAGTCTTGAACAGGCTGCCTAAGGTCAGACAGGGTCAACATCTGACATCATTAGAGGCAGATCCAGAAAGTAAAAACAGTGGTCTCCAACCATAGACGTTCACACCACAAAGTCAGGAAATCAAGACAGATCAACTTAAGAAGCAGAAGAAAAAGAGAAGAGTCTCACAAATAATGGGAAGACAAAGAAATACCCCCCAGTCGAAGGGAAAGGAGGAATCACCAGAAAGAGAACAAAATGAAAGACAGGAAAGTAAACTATCAGGTATTGAGTTCCAAACAACGGTTCTAAGGAAGCTCAATGAGCTCAGTGAGCTCAGAGAGAATTACCAAAAACTAGAGAGAAACTATGAGGAACTTCCTGAAAACTATATCAGCATGAAAAAGGACATAGAAACTATCCATAAGAGACAGGAGGAAATGAAGAATACAATTTCTGAAGTGAAGAACACAGTAGAAGGAATCACAAGCAGGCTAGGTGAAGCTGAGGACTGAATCAGCGAGCTGGAGGACAAGGGAGAAAAAAGCTCCCAGAAAGAGGAAGAAAAGGAAAAAAGACTCAGAAAGAATGAAGAGGCATTGAGGGAAATGCAGGACAACCTGAAACGTAATAGTATGCATATAATAGGGATACCAGAAGGAGAAGAGGAGGAGGAAGGAATAGAGAACCTGTTTGAAAAAGTAATGATGGAAAACTACACTAATATCAGGAAAGAAAAAGACACAAAAGTCCAGAAGCAGAGAGGGTCCCATTCAAGAAGGACCCAATGAGGCCCACTCAAAGACACATCATCATTAAAATGGCAAATATCAAAGACAAACAGAGAATCCTAAGGGAAGCAAGGGAGAAAGAGGTAGTAACATATAAGGGAGCCCCAACATGGCTAGCATCTGACTTTTCGGTAGAAACACTGCAAGCCAGAAGGGAATGGCAAGAAATATTCCAAATCATGAAAAACAAAGGCCTGCAACCAAGACTGCTCTACCCAGCAAGGCTCTCAATTAAAATACAAGGTGAAGAAGGAGTTTCCCAGACAAAAGAAGGCTAAAAGAATACACCTCCACCAAACCAGCCCTGCAAAATATGCTAAAGGGACTGCTTTAAGATGAAGAAAAAGTTTTTATGAATACCCCGTTCCTTTCAGAGTTGCCAATACTTGATATTACTAATATTTTTAATAATCATTAATCTGATTGTGACAATGATGTTATTTTAATTGTTCCCTGATTATTTGTTGACACTAAACTTGTTTTAGTATATTTCTTGCCTATTTCTATTATTTTTTTTAAAAAAGCTTTAAATGACTTTTTGGTATTCTTCATCCCTTTATTGATTAAAGGTTTGTAGAACGTTTTTCCCTAAAAAAAAAACAAGAAACAAAAAACCCATTAACCATGTTTTAGATGTGTTGCAAATACTTTTCTATTCTATTCTATTCCTAGTCCCTTAACTTTTTTATATGTATATTACTACATAGTTAAATGTTTAATATAGTCATATCGTCAATATTTACTTTATAGCTTCTGGGGTTGAATATTTTACTTAGGGTCATGAAAAATAGTTCTATTTTCTTCTAAAACTCCTTAGATTCTACATATTGATTTTGAACTCACCTGAATATTTCTTGTATAATGTGTGAAATAGGGCTCTATATTTGTTTTATTTCAAGTAATAGTGGTCCATGCACCTTATGTGTTGAATAAGCCTTATTTTATCCATTGACTTGAAATATCAACTTAATCATACATATATTAATCAGATATATACATTCATCTCTAGAATGTTCATTATATTTCTTTGATTTCCTTGATTATTTCTGTGCTGGTGTCATGTTGTTTTAATTCCTGAGACTTTATAATGGTTTTAATTTTTTTAATATTTTATAATTAACTGACATTTAAAAAAAATAAATGAAATCAATCTACATTTAAGAAAGAAAGAGAGAGAGAGATGGAACTCCTACTTTTTTCAATAACATGAATGGAAGTGGAGAATATTAAACTAAGTGAAATTAGCCAGTTGATGAAAGACAAATACCATATGATGTCACCTATAAGTGGACTCTATTCAACAAAATAAACTAATGAACAAAATAAACCACAGGCATGGAAACATGGAGCAGACTGAAAGTGACCAGAGGGGAGGGGGAAAGAGGACAATGGTGGAAAGGGGAAGGGACTAGATAAGGAACATGTATGAATGACCCATGGACATGTACGACAGGGTGGGAATTGACTGTGGGAGCAGGAGATGGGAGTGGGATGGGTTGAGGGGTTAAAGGGGGAAAAACTGAGACAACTGTAATAGAGTTAACATGATTTATAAATAAAAAAATAATGATAATAAAAAGAGACATATTAAGTACATCAAATCTGTGACCTAATGAATATCATTGCTTGGGTGAGACTAAGATCGATATTTTTAAGATTTTAAGAAACAAAGTCAGTATAGAAAACAACATTAAATAATACTACTTGTGTACACAAGTATGACATACATCATAAAGACAAGACATGAATGACTGAAGCTTTGGAATCACTGATCCCTGATGTTTTTTCATAATATACAGTCTATGTACACACTTTATTAGTTTCATACAAATGTGTATAATTTAAATGATTGTTATTTATTATTCAAAAAACTGGTACTGCCCTAGTAATTAACACTTATTAATACTTTTATATAATCTACTTGAAGAGCCTTATGGTTCACTCTTCTCACTTT